GAATGGACGCTTTGATGTGAGTAAAAAAAGAAAAGAAAAGTATTTTATGTTTATGGGATCATGCATATCTATAATCAAATGCAACACAGTGCATTGTAGTTTATTTGATGCTTATAACATGCTTTTGCAAATACGCAGAGTTTTGTGAAGCCATTCCTGCTGCAGTTTTCAACTTCTCGGTCTCGTACTGAGTCTCAGAACAGTTGGACTGAATCTTTAATTAGCCATAATCTGCCGATCCTCAGAACTTGATCTGTATTATTCTCTGAAGAGCTTTGCAATGGCTGGGATTTATCAGTGTATGCGCAATAAAAACCCTTCCCCTCTTTAAAACCAGGTTGGTTTGTGCTGTTATCACAACAGTGGCATCAGTGTCTGTGATTGTACATGTGTGTAATCTTGAAATGTTTCCTAATTCACTAAAACTGACATTGATGGTCATTGTATATTTGGTTGATATCCCAAAATACTATGATGCATTTGAAGGAAAGCTAACATGCACTTAAAATTTTTGCTACGCAAACACTGCTTGCATAGTGACACCAGTCCTGTTAGAAATGCTAAAAGTTGATGCTTTAATCACATTCAAATGACAAATCAAGCATTTATGTTTCCCTATATTATTTTCCAAACTCCCTACAATATCTTTGAATGTACAGTGAGTCAAAAAAGTATTTGGACACTTAAATTGTGCTTAATGTCTTTAAATTTTTTTTTTAATTTGAAACAAAATATCAAACAAAGTAGTATCTGCAAACAAATAAAGCTTAAAAAAACTCTATCTTGCTGTGACTTTCAAACAAATGGTCCTAAGGTAATTGTATTGAATCTACAAAATTCACACAGGCACACCAGTAGGGGAACCGCAGATGTACACTAAAGTTTTCAAGTTTAACAAGTCTCTTTATGTTCACCAAGGCTGCATTTATTTGATCAAAAGAGTAAAAACAGTAATATTGTGAAAAATTATTAGTTTAAAATAACTTCTATATTTTGAAATTGATGGCAAAGCTGAATTTTCAGCATCATTACTCCAGTCTTCAGTGTCACATGATAAGATTAATGGTGTGTGTGTGTGTGTGTGCTCAGATGAGTACATCTCTGTGCTCCTGTGTTTGGCTGCATGCACTCATCGTGCTGCTGTGACACTCATACCTCCACACTTGCTCAGACTGAGGCTCCAGGAGAGGGAAGTGCTTGTATTTAAGTTGGGAAAAGAAAGATGAGGTCTCATAAAACTCCCTGGGTACAGTGCTTTATTATTGTGCTTGATAAACCAAAGGGAAATGAAAACTTGGGGGTTCAGTTTCCCAGTAATGTAATACTTAATATCATAATTAAGTATTAAGCCTGATTTTAAAGCTCAGATGAGTACATCTCTGTGCTCCTGTGTTTGGCTGCATGCACTCATCGTGCTGCTGTGACACTCATACCTCCGCACTTGCTCAGACTGAGGCTCCAGGAGAGGGAAGTGCTTGTATTTAAGTTGGGAAAAGAAAGATGAGGTCTCATAAAACTCCCTGGGTACAGTGCTTTATTATTGTGCTTGATAAACCAAAGGGAAATGAAAACTTGGGGGTTCAGTTTCCCAGTAATGTAATACTTAATATCATAATTAAGTATTAAGCCTGATTTTAAAGAGCAGGTACAAGAGATATGCAGAGTGAATCAGTGAGACTAATTCTGCATTACCCTTCATTGATGCAATATTAGGACATCTCTCTTACGAAATTGCCTCATAAGAGTTGTCACAAAGAACAAACCAACACCAGGAGTAATGGTGATGTTGTCATTGGTCACCTAAGCATGTGGAGTTGCTCATTGTGTTAATGCAACACATGGAGTCATCCTGTCAAAGCCTGGGCTTGCTGCACTGTTCACTGAAGTAGTCCTGTCTACACTTCAAAGGGCACAAAATGATTTGTTTTATGAATTGCCATAGACCTGCATGATCTCCACTGACATATGCTCTCATCGTATGTGTGAGGAATTAATATTCTTATCTGTAAGTTCCATGGCAGAGCGAATGGACGCTTTGATGTGAGTAAAAAAAGAAAAGAAAAGTATTTTATGTTTATGGGATCATGCATATCTATAATCAAATGCAACACAGTGCATTGTAGTTTATTTGATGCTTATAACATGCTTTTGCAAATACGCAGAGTTTTGTGAAGCCATTCCTGCTGCAGTTTTCAACTTCTCGGTCTCGTACTGAGTCTCAGAACAGTTGGACTGAATCTTTAATTAGCCATAATCTGCCGATCCTCAGAACTTGATCTGTATTATTCTCTGAAGAGCTTTGCAATGGCTGGGATTTATCAGTGTATGCGCAATAAAAACCCTTCCCCTCTTTAAAACCAGGTTGGTTTGTGCTGTTATCACAACAGTGGCATCAGTGTCTGTGATTGTACATGTGTGTAATCTTGAAATGTTTCCTAATTCACTAAAACTGACATTGATGGTCATTGTATATTTGGTTGATATCCCAAAATACTATGATGCATTTGAAGGAAAGCTAACATGCACTTAAAATGTTTGCTACCCGAACACTGCTTGCACAGTGACACCAAGCCTGCCAGAAACGCTAAACGTTGATGCTTTATCACATTCAAATGACAAATCGGGCATTTTATGTTTCACTATATTATTTTATAAACTTCCTACTATATCTTTGAATGTACAGTGAGTCACAAAAGTATTTGGACACTTAAATTGTGCTTCAAATATGTGCATTAGAAAGAAAGTATCAAAAGCATTTATTTGATCAAAAGAGTAATATTGTGGAAAATTATTACAGTGTAATAAAACTTCTATATTTTTATTTATTTTAAAACTGATAGCAAAACTGGATTTTCAGCATCATTTTTATTTATGCAATTTTTATGTTTAGTTAGTGTTTCCACATTTGACTAAAGACACTGTTTTTTGACTCAGGCCCATGAGGACAGTCAAGTGTCTCTGAGCCCTCTCCCACACAGAGACACCATGGGAAGCTTCCTTCGAGACAACAGCGCCTATGAGCTGCGATCTGTCATAGGTGAGGCCAGCACTAGAACAGCTCTAGATCTCTGTGAGGAGCGTCTGTGACTTCTCCAGCTGCTGATGATATGTGTCTGTCTCCGCTTGTGAAGGTCGAGGTTTGGAGGACTTGATGACAGTGAATCTGGCCAGGTACAAACCCACAGGGGAGTATGTGGCCATCCGCCGCATTGACCTGGATTCCTGTACCAATGACATGGTCAATTACTTACAGGTCAGTAACGGTGACAGCAGGGCTTCTCTCACGATATATCGGAGATGGACGATTCATATTAAAATGTCATTTTATATATATTTAAAATTGTCATTTATTTTATTTATTTTTATTATATTTACCAGAATAATTCAAATAAAATAAGTAATTATAATCATTAATATAGTAAAATATAAAAGTTTGACACACAACTGAAACAGGCAATATACATTAAGAACATTGATAATTTATATATAGAGAGAGATTTAGTACAATAAATTTACTGTTATTTAGTATTATTTATATACACTAGCATATTATACTATTATAGTATTTTTATTTATTAGCTTTTATTTGTATATTTTAGTTTACATTTTTTGTATTCCAGTTCAAGTTAGTCATTTTTGGCTTTTTTAGTGGTTTTAATATAAATGTGTATATATATATATATATAACTTATTTTTATTTAATGTTTAGCAATTTTAGTACTTCAACTTATTTCTTTTAAAGGGGTCATATAATGCTATTTCTATTTTTCCTTTCTCTTTGTAGTGTTACAAGCTCTTGGTGCATAAAGACGATCTGTAAAGTTGCAAAGACTAAAGTCTCAAATCCAAAGAGATATTCTTTATAAAAGTTAAGAGTCAGCCACGCCGACCTAAAACGCCTCGTTCTAACACGCCCCCACATATCTACATCACTATGTGGGAAGATTTGCATAACATGTTCACGCAAAGAATGTATAACATGTTCACGCAAATTTTCACGCAAAGAAAGAAGGCGTAACTTTTATTCTCGCTGTAGTATTGTTGTTGCCGCCGCCATGTCGTGAAGACGCTGTGTGTTTCGTTGTGAAAGCAAAACTACTTTTTTTGGCCTTCCAAAAGAGGACGATATCTGCTTCGTCATGCCTGGAGCTGATCCGTGCTGGTCGCTGAGGAAATACATCAACTTCGCGCTGTGAATCGCCGGATCGACTTTCACTGTGGACGAAGCAGAGTCCAGCCCGGGGTCGTAACATGTGGTTGCCGCAAGCCCGCCGGCCGCGCCGTTCTCAAGCCCACCGGCCTCCTCTCACTC